ACAAAACACCCCATGCCCATATCTTCCACTATAATGTCAGTTCTTAATTTGTATGTATTAGAGAGACCAATCTTTTATTGGCAATAATTGGGAACAAGTGAATGTTATTATTTCTCATAGAGTATTCTGTATTCTGGACCAGAAACCACGGCTAAACAGATTGAAGACGCATTCAAAGAGTTCACAGCAAGAGAGAACATTGCAATAGTCTTGATCAGCCAATATGTAAGTTCTTCTGTTTACTCTATCATATATTCTCCTCCTTTATGGTCACGATTGTGTCAATTAATATGGTTTTATTTGGATAGAGTGGTGTTTGAGCATACACTAAGCAGCATGAACATGGCATCATATAAGTGATTTTTTAGGACTATATTGTATTTTTGTTGTAATACCAAGAAGAAAAAACTCGAATGCCTTTGCAGATGAAGCACAAACACTCTCAAGAAGGTGATGTATTCATGTCAGACACTGACACTCTACAGATGTTTTCGGACACATGTCTGATACTCTTTTATTCGTGTCCATAATTAAATGATAAAATTTTAATTTTGGACTCTAGTCCGACACTTCTTTGGTAACGTGTTTTAACACTTTTTTAGGTTTTGAAAATTGCTAAACAATAAACATATGTTGACATGTGATTAACTAAGCTTAAAAATTTAACTAGTATGTATCTGATACTATGAGAGAGTATATAATTACCAAGATTAGACATTTTAAAATTGTAATCAAAATATAATAATAAAAATAAATGATGCTTTGGTCCAAAAATTCACAATAGATTACTAGATATAGTATTTAGCTATCATAAAGTGGTGGGTTTTTTTATGAATAATGTATGATTATCACTATGCTTGCAATAAATTATATAGTTTTGCAGGGCTACCCACTGACCCCACTACAATTTTGAAAATATTTGGGATGCATTTAGCATTTCAAAATTTTAGGATCTTGCTCCCATTGAAATATTGTAAAAGATTTAGGGGTATTATGTATTTTAAATCTAGGGCTTCTGCAAATTTGGTAGACTTGCAGGTTGAGTGGGGTCCATGTGTCGGCCTCTACGTATTTGGGGACTATAGAGCTAAAATGAAACATAAAAAAATAAAAAAAACAGATTTATCTTTACTCCAACAAAATTTGTCCCAAAAAAAAGTCTCCAANCCTATAGAGCTAAAATGAAACATAAAAAAATAAAAAAAAACAGATTTATCTTTACTCCAACAAAATTTGTCCCAAAAAAAAGTCTCCAACAAAAATTTAAAGTGATCCCAAGTATATGTCCTCATTGTTAGATCTAATAATTCCAAATGAAACAAACATTTAATTAAAATTCTAACAGATTTGCATTTATTTTGGGTCACACTCGATCTCTATAGGCCAATGACATTCAATTTTCCTTATTTGGATATTTTTAATTAAGTATTATAGTGCTCACAATTTTAATATGATTCATAAATATGTCACAAAATTAATTAAGAATTAGGGTGGTTTAACCTTAATAGATTTAGGTGATAATGAATGGACCTATTAGATCTCTCAAATAAATGATTTGACATGAATGTAGATAAACGCAACACGTTCTTATTAAACATAACTGATACATAGTGCAAATCNTCAAAACATACTGTTATAATTTTTTTTGAACTGTATACTGTTATAAAATAAACAGCAAAAATTCAATTAGTAATTCAATATTAGCTTGTGCTTGATATTATTTTTGGGAAGAGGAGTGACTGCTGCAGGAAATTGCAATTTTTGTTCTTTATGTCTCGTGGTAAAATGAAAGATGCCCCCTGCTTCCTCTCTCCCTCCCCCCCCCCCCCCC